AAAGTCGATTAAGGAGGGAAAGGAAACTTTGTTATCGCTGGAATGTTGGTCTTGTTTCGCTTACATGATTAGGCCGTTTTTGTGCCCTTCGTTTTTTGAAGCTGATGGTGAGGTGTTCATCTGTGTTTCAGTACTATCAGCCAGGAGTTTCTTATTTTTGAGGCACATTGTACAGCTGTGTAGCAAACGTAGCGTGTAGTTTCCTGTTTCCTTTCAGCGTAGTGGTTCTCATTTATCAATCTGGGAAGAAAGAAAAGCGAGTGACCTCGATCAGGTTTTGAACCCATTACTTGTCACTTCTGGGTCCTAAGGTCTACCGATTGAGCAGCCCCAGTTTCAAGCAGTGTATGGTAAATTCCTTACTGTAGAGAATTTGTGAGTAAGATAAAGATTGTCCTCCGGCGGAATCGAACCTGTCATCTCCGGAGTTCGAAATACACCTTTTATACACTATCCTAACGTACCACCCTTAAACTTTTGGTGAAGTCGGTTACCTGAGGGCTGACACTATTATTTTTGTAGTTGTGGCGAGTAAAATTGCCTAACGAATTTCACGATCTGTTTGTTGCCATATGCTAAATTACCTACTGAATAATCAGTTTTAATAAGTTAATTTTTTGTAGTAATTAGCGCCTTTCAGAATAATTTCCCTGAAGATCAGCGTCCTGCTTTTAAATTAAGGATTATTATATTTGAATATTTTATTATTGCCTGTTAGATATGTTGATCTGAAATTCCGCAGCTAAGAGATAACAAGCAAGATCATTATAATCTTGTATCTCAAAGCCGCGAACCGCCTGTAGAATGGATGCCATTTGGTATGGTCAGTTCTTCATATCTGTCAAGCAGAATTATTTCTCCGTTCTTTAACTTGCATTTTATTTTTCCTGAAAAACGAGCACTTCAACAATATCGCTGTCAGCAAATTTTAAAATTTTATCTTCGTAATGAGGCTTCGTTTTGTGCCTCTTTTGAAGTTATTTTCAGTGTTGGTATTACTTTGTACTGAGAATTTTTTATCTTCCTTTGTTTATGCTAAAAAGCGAAATTTTTTCACTACTCTATGATTCATTTTCTATTTTTTGCAACAGAAATGTTTTCTTTCAATTCTGAACAACCATTTCTTTAAAGAAATTCGACGATCAAGAGGTAATTCATCATGATTGCCAAAATTTATTGATCCTCTGTTGGATGAGGTCCTTCTTTAAGATTTTCAAGCAAATATCTGTCTCGCAGTTTTTATTCACTTTCCTGCAACAGATTTTCCACTTTTATTTTCTCACTAGAGGTCATACAACGGGCTGTTTACCTCTTGCAATCCGGTTTGATATCGCCTTAGTCTAACAATGGCTTTTCTTGAAACGCGTCCTGTCAACTGCCATCTCAGCTTCTTTGTTCCTTCAGTGTCATCACGGAGTCTTCTTTTTCCTCCTACCCATTTGCTTTTCTTCCTATTTCTTTTTATTCCAAACGTACACCGTACATCTTTACTTGCTACTTTCTTAATGTGTAGTTTGGGAACAGCTTTCTGGCATAGGGCCCACGTTCCGCATCCGTATATAGATAGATATCTGACGTTTCGGACCAAGCTCGGTCCATCTTCAGAGTCTTCAGTTCATTGTACTCTGAAGAAGGACCGCGCTTTGTCCGAAACTCAGGTGGTCCCAACAAAAAAAATTAATGCGTTATCTTCCCGTTTGTGACTTACCAATGCATCATATCCCCTCCCACATAAAGAAATCATGTACCTAATTCTATAGATATGATTTTGATTCTCTCATGGTCACCAGAAAAAGTCCAGGAGTTGAACATAGACAGCGTCAAAGTAGGATTGAGAATTACTCTGAAGAAGACTCATGTCATGTTTAACAAATACAGGATCCAGTGACTTGTTGAAGTCACTGGCCTGAGGCTTAAAGAGGTGGATTACTACGTTTATGACAGCTGACTGTCATAACGGAGAATCAACTCTGGGAAATTAATGGGAGAATAAAATGCCATTATTCTTTTGGAAAACTGAAAATGTGGTAGTGTTCATGTATCTGCGAACCCTGATTTTTTTTGATGGGGTACCTTGAAGACCTTTTCCAGATCTGTTTTGAAAAACTTAGCTAATAACGCATCATGAACTTGCCTGTGGTTTTATGAGGCTTAAATCTACCAGCTGCATTGTTGTCAATGTTGGCAGCGAAGTCTGTGTCTCTGTAATTTTTCTCGAATTTCCGATTCGTTAAGGCATACAATGAAGGCCGAGAATATAAATATAACTGCTAGTAGTCTGCGCATAATACCTTTTTTATTTTCATGATAAACTGGGTTCATTTTGAACAACTGAAGTATTTTGAATGTTCATAATTGCTTTTGTACTTTTAAGCATGCGTGGTTTTCGGAGAAAGTTTTTAAGGTATCTGGGTACTGACTAAAACTTGAAGTTTATAAACTTGTACATTTCATTTAATTACGTGTTTTTCATTGTTTAGATAATTTTGTACAGCCAGTCTACTGCTGAAGTTTGCAAAAGGTCTTACGCTTGAGGGTCGCCAACTACCTGTTGAATTTGGCAAACTTTGACTACCCCGCCCATCTGGATAATGAGTCATGACTGGCGTGGGATTCGTGGCTTGGCTTGGGAGGAGGCTCAGAAGTGTTTGAATTTCGGTAAGCTCATACGCGTGGATAATATCAGTTTCATTAAAATCCCAGGATCTGGGTTGTATATAAGTTTAGTTGAGTGTCTGTTATGGTATAACACCTTAAGTCATACTGAACGAATCCCATGTGTTATTCTCAGCTATTCATTTTGCTGGGTGTTCTAGTGCAAGAGAACCCTTTTGTTTTTTATCTACTCTGATGACGAAGAACGCGTTTCCGCATCCTGTTTTCTGCCTTCTTTCCGCTTGCTTAACCCAGCTCTCCCCGTTGCGGTTCCTGCATATTCAGTGCGAGGTTTCACTATGTAATCGTTTTTTCTTGGTGCATTTTTTAGAGAGTTTCATAGCGTTTATAAATCCGGTGACGGCTTATGTCTGATGACAGCTTATACGGTCTGGCTGTATAACCCCAACCTATCGTTTTACTGGCGTGGATGACGCTGTATTTATTTTTTGGCCTTGTAGAAAGATAATCGATTCCTCATCCTCCATTACGGGAGTTGGGGACGTGGTGTTGACTATTATTTTACTGGACAGATTGTCAGTAGTGGGTGGACATTTCTTTCGAGGTTGTAATTAGAAAATGTTTTCCAGCATCAACGTACTTTAAAAGAACATTTACCTCTGCAATTCTATGGCTATGGTATTTGATGATTTTACATTGTTTGTACGTGTAGATTAGAAATTTAGTTTTGACGAGGTTTAGTGTGTTAATAACATCAATTTAACCGAGTCTAAGATGGCACTAAAACTGGTTACAGTCAGTACCACGATAAGTGCTGAAGAAATGGGCGCGTGCGAGTATTTTCTTACTTTAGGTAAGATGCCATCAAGGCATTCTAGAATTTAGCGATTGCGAGTGTTCATCGGTTGGTTAAAATTCCCTGCTAACGTACGATATTCTTGGCCTCAAGTCGGCGTTTCTGAACTGTCACAGATGTCTGTTGCTCCTAGACATTTACGGTTGCCAATGCTGCCTTCTATCAAAGACATTCTGCGTATGTACGAGATCAAGGCGCGACGACAGCTGTCCCAGAATTTCCTGTTGGACATGAACCTTACCCGAAAGGTAATATCAGTGATAAATCAACCATTTCTTGAAATCGCCGACGATTTCCTTCTAGATTGTCAGTTTTTTGAATATCACCGAAACTTCTCGTGTGTGTGAGGTCGGACCCGGTCCGGGCGGAATTACCAGAGCGATTCTGGAACGGTTTCCACAAAAACTGGAAGTAGTGGAGAAAGATGCTCGGTTTCTGCCAAGTTTGGAGGTATGCACTTGCTTCGTTGGCTTTCAAAAGGAGATTGTACCGCTGAAGGCGTTTGTCGCTATTCCTTCCTTTGTCGTATAACTTAAAACGATTAGAGGCGCCACTTAGCTGCTCCAACACGAGTTCAAATTTTAATTTGATAGACCATC